GCAGTGGGTGCGTGCTGCCGAAGAGTCACAAACTAGGACGAAAGAGCTGTCCAGTACTCCCAGTTGGTTTTCCAGTGGTTCTCTAACTAATATCAGCTCATGATGAAGACCTCCATACAATCAAAACAAATTCCTTACAGAAACCAATACTTGGAAATCCAAATAAGTTAAGTATGGCGATTGTGTCTGACTGTTTCTAGACTGGATTCCTTTTCACTTGTATTGTTTCAAAATGAATAACTTTTTATCTGAAATCGGTCAGTTCTCCTTGGTCTTCAGCTACAGCCCTGTAAGTGTTAGATTTTAAATTGCACTTTCAGATACAAGCGTAAATTTACATGATGAACTGAATTGTTTCGTTCCCATGATTTCTTGTATTATAGAGAACCTAATAATATAATAATATAATTTTCCTTCACGTCCCCAGTGGAACATAGGGCCTCAAGCTAGTGGCTTGAAGTTTCTGTTGCAGTGTTTAATTTTACAGGGTGGGGTTGCTAGCCCCATGCCCAACCTTTCCTCTTTACCAGCATTATTTCTGGCTTAGTGAGGCAAAGGAGTGCATCTGTGGTCAGGAATCGAACCCTGGACCATGTGCATGGTCGGCGAGCGTCCTAACGCTATGCCACCGACGCACATAGAGAAGCTAGTGAAGTTTTAAACTAATTGAGGAAGTTAAGATAGTGCAGTATCCCTCAGTCTCTACTTACTAAGTTTGACTAACTGATTTCAATGTAGAACTTTGCACAGATGTGAAGCAGTTCGTGTTGCCATACTCCCTCCATATAGCACACAAAGCAAGAGAAGAAAGTAAAGTGAGATTCATAACAGATGGAGCGATAATAAACACAAAATGTGAAGTAAAAAGAATAGTAGTAAGAAAGAAAAGCAGTTTTTTTATATTGGATAATATCAACTACAAAGAGTGAATGTGCATCTGCGTCAGACATGGCCACGAGGATGTTGATCCATATCACCAATTGTCTCCAAACTTGATTGGTTTTTACCATCCTGAGGATCCTAACCAGTCAGTCAGGAAGTCTACACCTCCCTACCTGACTTGTTTAAGCTAACTGTTGTGGATTTCACTGACTGATGAAGTCATAATTTCCTTTGACCACCATTAGCTAACTCTTTTCCAACCTGATCTATTCATTCTATGTCAGCGGCTAACATTGCCCATTGTCGAGGAAAGCGATGGATGTCTAGGTATGCTTGTGTACCACATGTTCTAACCATCTCTTTCGGTCGATGCATTTGCTTCACAACCTCGTCGATTGTTTCGCTCCCGCTCCCCCCTCCTTACCTAGCACTCACTCGACCGATGCTTCACCTCAAATCCTGAATTACAATAGCAACAACCCAATAATACACAAAAGGAATTGCATAGAAACACTATTCAGGAGAGCAAGGACTCATTGCAGCACTTCCACCTTAAGGAAAATTGAAGAAAAGTATCTCATGGACGTCTTCCAAAACAATAGATATCCACGGAATTTCATCAAAAGACATATATCCCCCAAGCCAACCTATCAGAGCAAAAGCCACCAAGGAAAGCACAAAGAAAATCGCCTTACCATATATAAAGGATATCTCAGAAATCACTACAAGACTCTCCAAGCCTAATTTGTGTATCCAAAAAAGTTTGTTCAGACATTATCCTTACCTTGACCGTCAATCAAGGTTTGAGTGATCTTGAATTTTTGTGGAATTTTCCTGATTTTAGTTGATATTCTATTTGCTATTATTATCTTTATTATTATTATTATTTAAGCATCTTTAATGAACTGCGGTGATTCCATTGTGATCTTACTTAACAAACCGACATTATCTAAGCAAACACCAATATTGTTATTGACGAGACTATTCTAGAATATTCAAATGTATATAAACATAACATGTAGATATAATTGTAGAGCCAGAAGAGGAGGAATTTATCGAAAAGGAGATATTCTTTGCTCCCTCAATTATTTTGTGTTTTGTGTTCAAATTGTTTTTGTATATATATATATATATATATATATATATACTTAATAATGTCTTTGGCCTGTAAGCAGCTGAGCTGATGCGAAGCCAACGAAATAAACAATGTGGCGATACCACTTTATTCTGCAAAACACACACACTGTAGTTCTTACTTAGTTCAAACAAGTCAACTGTTGAAAGATTATACACATTATTGACATTATAATGAATGTTTCTATGCCTGTCAACTCTCAGTCAGATTGTTCCAAATTCTGTCAGAAATTAGTCAGTGGTCCTCTTCAAATGGTCTTAAACTGAATCCGTCTAAATGTCAGGTGGTCAATTTCACTTTCAGACGTAAATGTGACCTACAACAACTAGTTAGCTCACATGGCTCCACTATCATTGACGGCACAAAGGTTGAAAATACATCTAATGTCAAGTACCCCTGGGCTGAGTTTTTCCACCGATCTTTCCCATGTCCTCCCACATCTTGCTAGTTACTAGAAAGATGTTTCGCTTAATGTTCTATGTTAGGAAATTTAGGCAGTCTGGTGTAAAGCAGTCTTTGCTTTCTCAGTTTGTAAATTCTTGTATTCTACCCATTCCCCTTTACTGCTCCCCATTAATCTTTCCTGGACTACTTAAGAAAGACTTTGCTTTTCTGAGAAGGGCATGCACTAAAAGCCGTTAGTAGGGTAAGTGCGACATGGTTAAACCAACTGGTTAACACTATTGTGGATAGACATGTAATGTCATGTAAGAAACTAGCGAATACAATATTGTCAGACGCCGAGCATCCTCTCTATACGCAGCTGTCTCCTTGCATTTCATCTGGTAGAACTAGAAGCAGCTATAGGAGGCTACATGCTAGGACTACCAAATACAAAAACTCCACAATACCATATCTGGCACAGCTGTTGTGTGCGTGATGAGAAATCCGTTAGGTATGTTACGATAAACTTACTGCGGTACTCTAACAAATAGTCCCATTAGTTTTTCTTTTCCTTTCCTCGTTACTATTACACTGTTGTTCTCATCTTCTATCACACATCAACTTTATTTGTCATATCCTGTGGTGTATTGTTTGAAATGTAAACTCTACGCTGTTTTTTAAAAAAATTTTTGATTTTAAAAATCTCATGAAATTTATGAGTCAATTAGATGCAATATATTGTAATGCAGGCTGAAAATTCCATACCTGTACCACAAATACTGTTTGAAATAAAGCTGTTATATTATTATTATTATTATTACTATAATTATTATTAGATGCCTGGCTAATTATTTCCCCGCCCTCCCCACATACAATGCCTTGTAAAGAGGAAGTTAGATGCGATAGTGTACTAAATCCTGACTAATTCCACACTATTTCAAGAGGGATCTTTAGCATAAAGCCATTATTATTACTATTATTATTATTATTATTATTATTAGACGGAAATAGTGTGACATTTTCTAATAGCAGCATGCCTCATTCATTATTCATCATTAGAGTTGGTTGTGACACACACACACACATAGTAGAATTCATCACACCACAACAATAATACAATAAAAGAAGATAAATGGACACATACTTCAAGTCTTATTGTCAATATCATCTAATGAAAGCTGGAAATGGGAATAATAGCGATGATAATAATAATAATAATAGTCTTTCAAAAGATAGGAGAAGCAAAATTATAGTAAGAACTTTACTCTGGCCACGGTAGGACGAGAGAATGTATGTATCGTTTTTGAATGCTGAGGTCCGGTTTCAGATGGCGAATAGCCAATGTCCGGAGATGACAAGGTGTTCGAGGATAGAGTTGTTGCTATTCTTTTCTCCTTTGGCTAGCTCCCTACCGATAGTTGCTACCTTAAAGTAGTGGTCGGGCTTGCACATTGCGATGACCCAACAAACTGCTACACTGGCTGGAACCAGTGTTCCTGCATGTCCTAACATGGCAGGAAGGTTGTTAGGATAGCGATTAGACTAAAAGCGGTTACCAGCATTGTGTAAGAATTGTCTTTCTTACACTATGCTGAGGGTGAGAAGTCGTACTGGTGGGGAACAGAGGTGTCACCGCAGTGAGGTGTTTCTCTCAGATGACTAGCATACCAGCCAGCTATGCTGTCTCTCCACTCTAGAGAGAGGGGTTAAAGAAAGTCGACTCCAAAAATTGTACATCTAGACTTATCCTACGGTGGTCCGTAGCCGTTAAAGCGGAACTAAACCAAAAAAGCCAGTTCAGACAGTCCTTGTGAAACCTGTCTGCCTCAAGCAGTTGTCCCCTGGGCTCTGAGGTCACGCAACATATATTCTTTCTCAGGTACTCAAAGAATAGATCAACTTCGACAGTGTGGGCAGTCGGGAAGTAACAACCGCCTTCCTACTTCCTAAAGCACACGAAACCCTCCTGATCATCATCATTTATCCCTGTCAGACTGCAGCCTTCTCGGTGATAGGCGCTCTTGTATTGTCTTCATCTGTGAAGTTGTCTGACGTTAACACGTTACTGTTTGTTAACGAATCGTAGGAGTAAGGGGTGGGTTATGCCAGTATATCTTAACTTCTTGATGTAGAAGGTAAGACGGAATATTTTCTTAGAAATCATCAAGATATGAGACGACCAGGAAGGAAAGATCAGCAGATAGAATGACTCCAAGATATTTATTTCATTTCCGATATGGTCTCTATTTTAGTACCATCTTGTTGCACACCTCATGAGTGCTAACCACCAGTTTGTTTAGGTCAGACTTATGCCTTAAATGGGTGAAATTGACTGTTTGACATTGAGAGAGAGGGATTTAAGGTAAGACCGTTTTCCTTGGACCACTGTCTGATTTCTGATAAAAAGCCATTTAGTTTGGAGCAGTCACTTTGACATTTGACAGGCAAAGATACTACGGGACTGTGTCTTTTACTGACAGTGTATAATCCTTCCCACACTTTGTAATTAATTTCCACGAACCTGATCTTCGTCTAACAGTGTACCTTATTATTATCATTATATCTGCGACTGTATATTTATATTTATTTTTTTTTACAGTACTGGTGAGTCATCTGTCACCAAATCCCTACCAGTTGTCCCACCATGGTATGCAGCATTCCCAGAGTCAAGTTATACGCATAAAAAATCTGATATCCAGTCGAAACATTGTGTGATGGAACAGGTAACCGATACAACTGGTGTTACTGGCGCTGATGATACTACTACTACTGCTATTACTACTACGACTACTATGACGACGGCAACAACGCCATCAACATCAATAACAACAACAACAAACACATCAGGAACAACTGGTCAACTATCTACTCGTACAGACAACAGTCCGCCTACATCTTCATCGCATGAACATCAACGTTCTGCACCGACAAATACAACTTCACAATCGTCAACAACACATTCATCATCAGCTACTTCAGCTGTTTCTGCTGGCACTACAAATTCTACACCTGGAAGTTCTAGTCTCCTCTGTTCAAATTCCTTAGTTATAGGCTATTATATGGGTGATGATCCTGTACCGTATAGAAGTTTATGGCCATCATCAGAAATTACTCTCGGTCAATTTAAACAGTTAATCCCAAAGAAAAAAGGTTTATTCAGGTAAGTTTTGTTGTGTATAAGATTGAGTAGAGTGTGGGATAAAACCCAACCTTTCTCTCTCTCTTTTTCTCTGATCTTTTCTCTGGTTGGAAGCAATTCATCAGAATGCCTTGTGATGGCGAGTAACGTAGCCTGTTTGGTAGCAGCCACACTGCCGACCAACTTGACTGATAGAATTCAGTGGAGTTGTAGTCGTGAACCTGAATAGCTGACTCAGTGGTAAGATCTCTGACTGCACCCACTAGAGGTGGTGACACTGATTCGTATCTTAGATGGGAGATGAGTTCATCCAAAAAATGTAGATACACCTTCCTCTGATAGAAGATTGCCAAGAAGCACAAGACCTTGGTCTGTCTATCTGGTTCCAACATAGAACTTTGCACCGGAGTGTAGCAGTTCGAGTCGCCACACTTCACTCAGCACACAAAGTCAGAGAAGAAAGTAGAACGAAATGCGAAATAGAGACAGTAAACAGAGGTGTGAGACAAAGGAATAGTAATAACGAAGAACAATATAGTTTTATGGTAAATTATAAGTCACAAAGGAGTGGATTTATCTGCACCAACCAGCCATTGACAACGATCACTTTGAGCCAAATCACCGATTGTCTCCAGCCTACATTGGTTTTTATCGTCCCCAACACTCCAACCAGACAGTCAGGAAGTCTGCACCTTCCTACGTGACTGGCTGGCTGGCTTAAACTAACTGTTGTGAATTTCATGGACTGATGACATTTTTGTTTTAACAGCCGTTAGCTCTTTTCCAACCTGATCGATCCTGTGTCAGCTAACATTGCCTGTCAGTCGAGGAAGGCGATGGATGTCTAGGCATGGATGTGTAACATATGTTCTAGCCATCTCAATCTATGTAACTTCACAGCCTCGTCGGTTGATTTCCCCTCCCACGTACCTAACACTCGACGGCTAACTCCAATAATTTGCCATCACTCATCACGGGATAGAGAACGCAAGCACCTATGACCAAGGACAACTAGCTGGTCTTTTCATGTCTTTCACTTTTAATGGTCAGGTCCCACAGGGAGGCGAAAAGGAGGACGGAGTGGACTGCCGAGTAGTAAACCCACCCTTTAGTCGATAGCCGGTCGGATATCACGTCTACTAAGCGAGAGACGGCGTAAACTAGCATATGCGAAACTAGCCTTCTGTATCCGTTCTGAGATTTCTTCAGCGATCAACCTGTTGGCGCTGGTTGATTCAGCTTCCAGAATAAGTGAAGTGGTCAACGTGCTCCACCATCCACTTCACTCCCTATTTCTAAACTAGGAGTCAGTGTAGTCCAGTCCTGTATCCTGATCATCTTACATTTGGCGGGAGCAAATCGCATGCCATCTCTAAGTCCTGCCAGGGCTTTTTGCCAGTTACCTTTAATCATCTAATAACAACTATTCACCGTGCACATTGACGGCGGCTAACCATCTAGCTCATGAAGATAAATATTCGACAATAGCAATCAGAAATAGCAAATTGCTAAGGCAGGTTAAATCCATCGAGTTGTTAATGAATTCCACCTCAGTGTGGCTGATGAATGAATGGTCAATAGACTCACCGTGTAACCATGAAAGTCTTGGGTTCGATCCTCACCGGTGGGTGTTGAAGGTAGTGTTGGATTTATAATCGCTTACTGTTGCTGTAGAGTTCCAAACAACAAGGATGGGTCAAATGATCCAGCCTCTGCCCGCTGGTTTTCAATAGTTCTCTTCAAATAATACCACGATTGATATCAGTTAGAGAACCATTCAAAGCCAGCAGCGATTAACTGGACAGCTATTTCATCCCACTAGTTTGGGAATTTTCAGCAGTACACCACCCACTGCGTAGGGGTTCGAACCCAGGATCTTCCGGTTACAAGGCGAGCTAGCTCGTATGCCACCATTCAGCCACTGGGACCCGATTAAATGGCCAGTTCATGAATTCTAACTTCTACCAATTCACGATTTTACCGTGACCATCAACCAATGTCATCGGTGGGCCGTTGAAGAGTCGGGTCCCAGTGGTTGAATAGTGGTATACGAGCTAGCTCGCCTTGTAACCAGTAGGTTCTGGGTTCGAAGCCCCCGTAGTGGGTGCGTATTGTGTGTGGATGATTCCCAAACTATTGGGATGAAACAGCAGCTGTCCAGTACCCTAGTGCTGGATTTCAGTGTGGTTCTCTTACTCATATATGAATCCTTGCGTCAAACTCTTATAAACAAATCTAATCCATACAAACCACACTCCTGAAGATTTATTTAATGTTTTTTTGCAAACAGAGTGAGTATCGCCACCCTCATTGCATTATATTGTATTATATTGGTGAATGGTCAAAGTGGTAGAACAGGGGTCAGTGAGTCAGACTAGCCGATCATAAAAACCTAGCAGCAAAATCTAGATAGGTTGACCCGAATAAGATAAGAAATCTTGAGAATAGTTCAGCTGTAGATAGCACTCACTACATGGAATTACACAGAGAGTCATACACTATAGGATTCGATAAGATGACAGTTTTTGATTTGACACTAGTAACTAGTGTGATGCGTGTAGTCCTCTGATTGGTGTAGACTGAATTCTATCAGTCAGTTTCAAAATCTAATGTAACAGTCTGTCTGTCTAGATTTAACATAGAACCTGGCACCGAAGTGCACCAGTTCGAGTTGCCACGTTCCAAATAGCACACAAAGGTAGACAAGAAGATGAGTGGAGAGAATCAATTGAGTTTGACAAGTATAAGAGTGAAACAGAATGGGTAATGGTAGAAAGAAATGTGAAAGATTACGGAGACTGAATACATCTGCGCTGTCATTGACAACGATTTTGAGCCATGTCACCTATTGTCTCCAGCCATTGATTCTTAGAGTCAGTCCCGAGGGCCCCAACTCGGAAGTCTGCATCTCCCTACCTGACTCAGTTTAACTGTCAAGGATTTCATGGATTGGTGACATGTTTTTGTTTGGCCACCACCTGCACTTATATCAGCTAGTAATAATGCCCGTCGGGGGAGGCGATGGTTAGGCAGGCATGAGCAGCACGTCACCTAGCCATCTCAATCTATGTAACTTTATAGCCTCGTCGATTGATTTTCCCTCTTTGTCTGCCCAACACTCTACGCCTAACGTCAACATTACTTACCTTATTATACCACCACCTAACGTGAGACAGAGATCATAGACATCTATGATCGAAAACAGTCAACCTTTTTGTGTCTTCAAGTCGTATTGGCCATGTTTCAGAGCCATAGAGAAGGACGGAGCGAACTGATGAGCAGTACACACGTCCCTTGGTTGATAACCGGATGTCACGCCTACGCCAGACATGATGTAAGTCAGCGAAAGCAGCTCGAGCTTTTTGGATCCGTGGTGAGATTTCGTCGCCAATCAGTCAGTCCGTTGGTGCTGATACAACTTCCCAAATAGGTGAAGTGTTCAACATGTTCTATCACTTCACTCCCTATCACTAAGCTAGGTAGGAGTTGACGTAGTCCAGTCCTGTAGCAGCATCTTACATCATCTTTACAGGGGCGAATCGCATGCGAAGATTGCTGGTCAAGGTGTTCAGAAGACTCTGCTGGATTCTGTCAGCATCCTCCCTTACGCAGGACTATGCTATCTGCATGTTCTAAGTCCATAAGACTATTCCCTGGTAATGTAACAGTAGGTTGCAGGGAGAGATTGATAACATAAGCTTTGTTTATCTAATCAACTAAGGTGGAATACGTGTCCATTCGGATATCTGGAAAATTCTACTACCCCTACGACGATAAATAGGAGAGAACAAAGAAAACTATAAAACCCAAGTTTCCAAGTCGTGTGATTATAATTGATAATATGATAATGAACAGTAATAAATTTTGTTCGAAACCTCATCGTCATCCAGTATGTAATAATACTGTTTCACTCACTGTGTGTGTGTGTGATACATCTAATAAACCAATTAATATGGTATACGAGCTTGCCTTGTAGCCGGAAGTTGCTGTGTTTGAACCTCGACGCAGTGGATGATATATCAATCCATGGTCAAACTCTTATATACCACACTCTTGAAGATTTATTTATGTTTCTTTCTGCCAACAAAGTGAGTATCACCACCCTCATTATATTATATTATATTGGTGAAGGGTTTATTGAATTACACTACGTGATTGTATTTCTCTCTCAGTTAGGTGGGTGGTGGTGGTGGTTTAATTGCGTCGTTATTTTAAAAAAAAATATATGGAGTACTTTTAGATCCAAGCATCTTCCTTCAGTCAGAGTGTTGTGGTAAGTAGTAGTAGGTTACTTCAACGAAAACTTTGCAATTATAAACCGCACCGAAAAACCCACCCACTCAGCTGTGTACGCTGTGAGAGGAGAAATACACACACACACACAACCACACACACGAAAAGGACAATCTACTTTCATTCATCAACTGTGTTTATATTTAAAACAATTAATGTTCTTCAGATTTTTTAGCTTAACAAGACTCATACTGTGTTAAATTATAATAGTAATAAAGATATAATAGCAAATAGAATATCAACTAAAATTAGGGAAATTGCACAAAAATTCAGGATAATTTAAACCTCGATGGCCACTGGAGTAATGATGATGTCTGAACGAACTTCTTTTGGATGCATAAATTAGGCTTGTTAATTACGGATCCCGACAGCCAGCCTCGGCAATATTTAGTAGTCAAAATCTTAGGGCAAAATTAAGATTCGTAGGTATGCGGTAAATGACCCTAAAAGCCGCCTTGTTAACATCAATCAGTCTTGTGTTCTGTCTCTACACATGATGAAACAGAATAGCGCTACGAATGGATTTTGTTTGACCTTTGCTTAACAAACCACTGTGCAGGGTTATGTTCGGAAATTCGACGAGAAACACGCCAAATTGTGCGGTCTATGTAACTGGCTCCACAGGAGCAGTTAAATTGGTAGATACACATGGATGAGGCGCAATTAGGCAGTTTGTCTTCTACTCCCGAACGCAGAGGAGGAGTGGTCTTAAAGATACAACTTAATTCAGCAGCAGGGAATACTCGTTTTACCGCCTCATTTCTAATGCGCTGTCTTAGTATCTCGCTGGTGTTGTCCCCAAGGAACTGCATCTGTAAGAATAAGGCCTTTTTTGGAACTGTTGGTAACTTCGGCTGCTTTGGTTTCAAATTCATATTCTTATCAATAAACTTTTCAGGATAACCATTCTCACTTAGCAACCGTTTAATATTATTCACTTCTTCATCAAGACATTCCTTCGAGCGAATCGTTCTTGCTCTGTGAACCAGGCACTTTATCAAATTGCGTTTGTATTTCAAGGGCACAAAACTGAGAAAATGTGTGTACTGGCCCGTTGATGTAGGTTTTCTATAAACACTTCTTATTATGTCATCCTCTTTTCTGGTCATAGAAACGTCTAAAAATGGAATACTAGATTCTTCTTCTGTCTCGATGGTAAAATTTATTGCAGGATGTACCTCATTAAATTTATCCAGGATGCTCTTTGCTCCCTTCTCGTTTTTCCTAATCAAAAAAGTATCATCCATGTACCGACGAGAAGGAGGCAAACGAGCATCCCCTGCTGCTGAATTACGTTGTATCTTTAAGACCACTCCTCTTCTGCGTTCGGGAGTAAAAAATAAACTCCCTAATTTCGCCTCATCCATGTTTATCTACCAATTTAACTGCTCCTGTGGAGCCAGTTACATAGACCGCACAATTTGGCGTGTTTCTCGTCGAATTTCCGAACATAACCCTGCCTGATTAGTTAAGCAAAGCAGAAGTTAGAATTCATGGGCTGGTCGTTGGAACGGGTCCCAGTGGCTTAATGGTCTCCGAGTTCGCTCGCTAGCTTGTAACCAGAAGGTCCTGGGTTCGAATCCCGGTGGGTGCGTACTGATGAAGAATCGCAAAGTAGGACGAAACAGCTGTCCAGTACTCCCCGGCAGGTTTTCAATGATTCTCTAACTAATGTCAGCTCATGATGAAATCCTGACACCTTGCATTTTTTCCCCATGAATATATCTACTAACAGGGGCCGAAGAGGGAGCTCCCATCGCAACACCATCGATTTGTTTGTATTGCCTTTTCTTGAAAGGTGAATCTAATATTTTGCTTAATAATGCCTTATTCAACTGTGTTAATATTTATTTGTGTTTTTGTTTTTTTTTCATTTCATTTTTCCGCTCTTTTTTCAAGATACTTTTTCAAGAAAGCTTCTGATGAATTCGACTCAGGCGTGGTTCATCAAGAGATAACCAATGAAGATGCTATTCTACCATTATGGGAGGGTAAAATTGTTGCTAAAGTGGAACGAATCGATTAGAATGTCATTTATTGTTTTTACGCCTCTTTATTCGCGTGTGTGTGTGTATGTTCGTGTCTGTAGGCTAATGTGATGATAAATCAGAGTGTTTTGTTTGTCAAGCTCCTCTTCGTTTTCAACAACCTCTTTCTCATCATCATCATCACCACTCACAGTGTGTGAATCGTCAATATTGACACACACAAACACACACCCACAGTAACTGTCAGCTATATAATATGCCTGCTGTATCAATCATTCATTAATCTCCAGTTTTTCTCCCCTCCTCTTCCCTGTCTCTTGTCTCACTTGTCTAATTTATGCATCTCTGTTCTCATTTATTCAGTAATTCAATTCACTGAGTCCATTCATACTTCTTTCTAAGCAAGCGCCTCAAAACTCCAAAACCTCCAATAAAATTGAAGAATAATCCCATGGTGTGTAGTAGTGGTTATGTTCCACCCCGTCCCCTTCTCCCTCTTTACATCCATCAGTATTTTATTTCCAATATCCGGTTACTGTTCACTGTACACTGCTGTTAAAAACAATCATGAGAGTAGAGTAGAGTACTCTGTGCCTTGCCTACCACTAGCATCCTTCATTCACTCCCCCATCCATCCATCCATCTCCAAGCATCCCAATCTTCCTACGATTATTTACTCTATTATGTCGGTGTGTTTGTGAATTATTATTATTATTATTGTTCAGTCGTGGTTTTAAAAATAACCAGCCAACTCCAATCTGATGATCTAGTGTAGTCCGATCATAAATTATTAATCCATCAGTGTGTGTGTTATGGGCTAAACAGGGTATAATATTACTAATATGGATCACATTATTATCATTATTATTAATACCGAATAATATCAGTTGTTTTTTTGGAGGGTTTTTTTATCTTTCCTTTGTTGTGTTGCATTGATGATGTTCCTTTTTTTTTGTTTTTCTTTCGTACATTTGAGATGATGTATCTATGATAAAATTGTCTATGCGTCTGTTTCTCTCGTCGACGTAATGCTTTTTTGTCTGTTTTTACTGTTGACTACAACAATCCAATACTACATGAGGGGAGTGTTCATTCATTCTTTCCCTTTTATTTTCTAAAATACAAAACTGTTTTATAAAAACCCAGTGTGTGTGTATGTGTGCGTGCGTGCGTTCGTGGGTGTGTGTGGTTGAGTATTACGTAACTCTGTCGCTTTTGGTTTCTATATTATCTCTCTCTTCCTCCCTGTCTCCTTATATATTTGTAGAAATTGACCAGGACATAGAGACAGAGAGAGAGAGAAAGTGAGACCGGGGGGGTTAGGTAACTGGGCAATTATGTGATCGTGATGATCGTTGATCATTTAAAAGCCTCTTGCCTCTATTTATACCTTTTTCTTTAAAAAAAAATTACTTTTCAATTCTTCCCACATATATCTGCATATACACACATATAATATGATTTTAATTCTTTTTGGAGGGGGGGTATATCCTCTAGTACCTCATACTCCGCTGGATTTTTACTCTCTGTCGTTCTTGTCTCTTCTTCCCCTGTATTTTTTTGTTCTCGACCGGACAATATGATGAATGCAAACAAGTTGACAGGTGAGTTATTAAAACACATCAACATCATCGAGTTCCATCGGCGGCGGCGGCGATGGCGACGACTGGGGGGAGTTTTGTTTTTTGCGCGAAAAATATAAATCATGACAACACACACATACACACACCACCTCATTTGTCTCTATAATTAAGTGTTGTAGTAAATTCTTTCCTGGTAACCCGTCCTCCTGCTCTCTTTTCTTTTCTTTCTTTCTTTCTTTGTCCTGACTTCAAGTCTTTGTTTCTCTTTCATGATGAGTATTTTATCTAATATTATTATTGTTATTATTATTATTACTGCTAATATTTTTTTCATTATTCAGTTAACTTTTGATAATTTACTAATGAATGCGAGAAAATTCCACTGATCATCCAACTATTTCTTTGAATAGTGTTTCAAGTGACTGTATGTTGTATGTAGGCAATGGGAGATGATTCATGTTGTGTGTGTGTATGTATGTATGTATATAAATGATACGTGAAAGATATGTGAATTATAGTCATCATAGGGGCACATTTTTTTAAGCAAAAATAAAATCAATAAATGAGTAAATCAGGAAAAAAAATGTTGGTTATTCTTTTCGTCTTCTCAGCGTCTCTGTCTGTGTGTGCTTGTGACAAATGTGCACCAAAAATTTTGAACTGTCAGTTGAATCAGCACTGTTAAATGTCCCAGGTGGTAACTTACACACTGTCCTTAGAAGACTTTCAGCAACAATCTGAGCAATAATGAACGAAATATATTCCCATATTGAGTCATAAGAAAAAGGCACAAACAGCGAAGAAAATTTTCCCTTTTCGACGATTCATTTTCATGAGCTGCCGTACAATCCTAATTATAATTAAACACATAAGTTTTTTGAACCAATCAGATACTGGTAAACTTTGTCCTTGAAAATTCTGCCACATAATGTGAAGTGTAAGAAGGGAGGACTAATTGTAAGTTAGAAAGAAGACAGAAGTTGTCATATCTTAACAATTATGAGATAATGACTAATCAATAAGCTAGTGTAGAATGAACAGGGACTAGTGGAAAGGCTATAAAGTGTTTTTGTATAAAATCTGTATGAAAAAGCAATGTTATTAATAAACAGTAATAGAGTGGTAATAAAATGTGGATGATGGGAATAATAATGATAATAAAAGTATTATTATTATTATTATTGTATCCTTTAGTTCCTAGAGGAACATAGGGCTTCAGCTGCGCACCTCCATTGACTTCGGTTTTTTGACAACTTTTTCACCCTGCTCCAGGTCTGCCCACATGCTTTCATCTCCTCTTCACATGACCTCCTCCAAGTCACCCTTGGACGACCAACTCGCCGCCTCCCTTTCGGGTTCCACTCGAGGGCTTGTCTAGTGATGTCACTTGTTGGTTTCCTCAGCGTATGGCCAATCCATCTCCATTTCTTTCTGCCTATTTGTTTCACAATCGGTTCCTGATTGGTTCGCTCCCAGAGATCCCTGTTGCTGATCTTTTCTGGCCATCTGATCTTGAGTATTGAGCGGAGACAGTTGTTAATGAAGGTTTGAAGTTTGTTTGAGATGCTCTTTATGACTCGCCAAGTCTCTGATCCGTATAGTAGCACTGACTTCACATTGGAGTTGAAAATCCGGATCTTATTTTTGATGCTGAATGCTGTTGACCTCCACACAGATTTGAGAGTAATGAAAGCTTGTCTTGCTTTTCCGATTCTGGCTTTGATGTCCTCGTCAGTTCCGCCTGTAGTTGAGACGATGCTTCCCAGGTAGGTGAAGGAGGTTGTTTCTTTCAGGTTCTTCCATTTATGCTTATTGTGGTCTGTTGTTGCTGTTGATGTTGGCAAGGAATCTTCATCATCTCTGTTTTATCTATGTTCACGTGAAGTCCTATCTTTGATGCTTCTTCTGCCAAAGAACAATAATAATATTAATAGTGAACTTACATAATAAAGGAAAGAAGCGAAATTGTAGTAAAAACTTTAGTCTGGTCATCGTAGGGCGAGTGAATATATATGTATCGCTTTTGTATGCACAGGTCCGGTTTCAGGTCTCGAATAGGTAATGCTTCAGCTATGTACAGATGTCGTATCCGGAGTCCTTTCGGATGATATTGAGGGACTCTGTGTGCCACTGTGAAGCATTCATGCAAGTGGGGGGGTGTTTGATGTCCGGAGATGACAAGGTGTTCGAGGATTGAGCTGTTGCTATTCTTCTTTCCTCCTCTGCCTGGCTAACCAAGCTGGGCAGTGTTCCAGGATACGTTTGTGGACTTGACGTTGCGTACGACCGATATACTTTGCTCCACACGAGCAAGTAAATTGATAAATACACATTGAAGTGGCCAAAAACGGTATCTTGCCCTTAACGTTAGACTGGATCAACTGTCTGCAGGAGAATGTTATACGTAGAGTGGCTGATGGGAATGTCTTCTTCAGACTTTTTGAAAGGCGGTTTCTGAGAATTTCCGCTGTGATGTCACCTTTGAATTCTAGGTCATGAAGAGAATCTTCTTAGAAACCGTCGTGATATTTGACACCGGAGGATTCTTCATGTTTTTGTCGATGAATCTTGGTGGATACCTATTCTCTAGTAGGGTTTCATGCAATAAATGTGCAACAACCGAAGCGAAAATCTAGAACACAGATTGATGACTCAAGAATCCTTGCACCAATATAAAACCAAACATGAGGTTATTATGTGCGTCGGTGGCACAGTGGTTGGGAGGCTCTCTGACCATGTACATGGTCTGGGGTTCGATCCCCGGTCACCGGTGCACTCCTCCCTTACCTCACTAAGCCAGAAATAATGCTGGTAGATAGGAAAGGTTGTGCATGAGACTAGCAACCCCCACCTGTAAAAAAGAACACTGCTACAGAAACTTCAAGCCACTAGGTTGAGGCCCTATGTTCCAGTGGGGAACGTGAAGGAAAAAACATACACAAAGTCTAAGAATAAATCTCATAACCATTCATCACAATAATACTTCTGATAGTATTTCCTCGTTTTCTAACCAACAGCAAACGATGGAACGATGACTGCAGTATCGGTGGCTCCGGAGAAAAATATAGAGTTGGGTTTGAGTAAACAACCATGAATTGATCATTTATTCTTCAAGTACATTGACAAGCACAGTTCTTCGACTTGTTGTTTTTCTATGTTAAAAGGGTTTTTAGGTTGTTGAGATGGAGTTGGCTTCAAGCTTGTTGACAAAAATACACGGGACCCCCCCCCGCACAAACACGCACATACCCTATTGAAGAAGACTACGTGAGAATTAGAGAGAAGTTATCCCGACGTAGGTGTTAATGGCCTAGTCTGTGTTATTTTCTGGTGTTGAGTGTTACTGAGTTGTGGAATGCTGTCCAACCGAGCAATTGCATCAGGTTTCACTTTAAGCCGTTGCTTTCCCAATCTTCACTTCGTTGGTACTAAGTAAGCCAAATGAAGGGCAGAAG